AATGACTATAGTATAATAATAGAATGCTATATAATATATAATGACTATAGTATAATAATAGAATGATATATAATATATAATGACTATAGTATAATAATAGAATGCTATATAATATATAATGACTATAGTATAATAATAGAATGATATATAATATATAATGACTATAGTATAATAATAGAATGCTATATAATATATAATGACTATAGTATAATAACAGAATGCTATATAATATATAATGACTATAGTATAATAATAGAATGCTATATAATATATAATGACTATAGTATAATAATAGAATGCTATATAATGACTATAGTATAATAATAGAATGCTATATAATATATAATGACTATAGTATAATAATAGAATGCTATATAATATATAATGACTATAGTATAATAATAGAATGCTATATAATGACTATAGTATAATAATAGAATGCTATATAATATATAATGACTATGGTATAATAATAGAATGCTATATAATATATAATGACTATGGTATAATAATAGAATGCTATATAATATATAATGACTATGGTATAATAATAGAATGCTATATAATATATAATGACTATAGTATAATAATAGAATGCTATATAATATATAATGACTATAGTATAATAATAGAATGCTATATAATATATAATGACTATGGTATAATAATAGAATGCTATATAATATATAATGAGTATGGTATAATAATAGAATGCTATATAATATATAATGGCTATGGTATAATAATAGAATGCTATATAATATATAATGACTATAGTATAATAATAGAATGCTATATAATATATAATGACTATAGTATAATAATAGAATGCTATATAATGACTATAGTATAATAATAGAATGCTATATAATATATAATGACTATGGTATAATAATAGAATGCTATATAATATATAATGGCTATGGTATAATAATAAGGAAGAGCTGGGACATGATCACGTGGCTGCTTAGCCCCGCCCCCAGCACCGCTGCAAGTCTGGTCATGTGATCTCACAGTCTGGTCACATGACTGAGAGGCAGCAACATGGCTGCTGTAACAGTTACTGTGTGCCTGTATTTCCTGCTTAGCCTGGGGGATTCAGTGAGCCTCAGCCAGGTAATAAACCTCTATCACAATATATCACATTATATTATATTGTGTGTGTCTGTACTATATCTACCTGGACAGGGGGTGTATGGGGAATATTATATTATATACACTGTGTGTGTCTGTACTATATCTACCTGGACAGGGGGTGTATGGGGAATATTATATTATATACACTGTGTGTGTGTCTGTACTATATCTACCTGGACAGGGGGTGTATGAGGAATATTATATTATATACACTGTGTGTGTCTGTACTATATCTACCTGGACAGGGGGTGTATGGGGAATATTATATTATATACACTGTGTGTGTGTCTGTACTATATCTACCTGGGCAGGGGGTGTATGGGGAATATTATATTATGTACACTGTGTGTGTCTGTACTATATCTACCTGGACAGGGGGTGTATGGGGAATATTATATTATATACACTGTGTGTGTCTGTACTATATCTACCTGGACAGGGGGTGTATGGGGAATATTATATTATATACACTGTGTGTGTGTCTGTACTATATCTACCTGGACAGGGGGTGTATG